TGGTTTGGTAGATCCGCCCTTTTCTGAGAATGAGGTGAAACTGACGGCTTTCAAGTTCGGGAAAAGGAAATCTCCTGGTCCCGAAGGGATCGATAACACGGTCGTGAAAGCCTTGGTAAGGATGCACCCATCGCTTCTTTCCAGGTTATTCAATAGGTGCCTGGACACTGGTGCATTTTTGGGGGTTAAATTCTAATTTATTTTTATTAGCAAATTTTTCTAGGTGGAGAAGAGTCTTGTTCAAATCTCTTTCAGCTTTTTTCCAGTTAGTGTTGCTGCTCCATAGAATAATGTCATCAGCGAAAAGTCCAATATTGGTTTTATTTGAAAATTTTTCTTCTATGCCTGCAATAAATAGGGTGAAGAGAGTTGGGCTAAGGATTGATCCTTGTGGTAATCCTTGGTACAATTTGAAGGTTTTAGATAGAGTGCCATTATATTTGACCCTGATTTATATATTTATTTTAAATTATTTATCCATCAATTTTGAAATGTTTGTATAATTTTGTAATTAACTTGTTTTTCCATACCTTATCAAAAGCTTGTGTAAGGTCTAAAAAGCAGCTATGGTGTGGTTAGTTGGTTTTTTGTTTTGTGCATCTTTTACCTTTTGTGTGAAAAATAAGAGTTGGTCTATTGTCCCATGTCCTTTCCTAAATCCATATTGTTCTTCTGGTAAGAGATTTCTTGTGTCGGGGTGGTAGGTGAGTCGTCTGAGTATAATTTTTTCCATTAATTTGCAGCAAATATTTGTTAGGGAGATAGGTCGGTAGGTTTTTGGGTCATCAGCAGATTTGTCAAGTTTTTTTTAATGGGAATTATTGTTGCATTTTTCCAGTCTTGAGGCAATTTTCCAGTTTTCCAGGAGTTATTGAAAATATTAAGAAGTCTTTCTTTGCCAATTTTGCCCAAGTTTGATATCATTCGGCCATGGATTCCATCTGGCCCAGGAGTCTTGTTTAGGTCAGTGTTTTCTAATGCATAAGCTAGCTTTTTCATATTGATTTTTTCATGGAAAATATTATGAGTGTGAGCAATAGTTACCGAGAACTTTTTACTGTGTATAAATATTTTTGAGTTTGTACAAAGAATATCAGCCCGTCGAAGAGCAGTTAATTTGCTCGAAAGCTAGCAAATATAAATAAAAAGAAACTTTTTACCTGATTCAATTTTTACTTTTTCAAATATTATGAGTGCTGGTGACATTTTACAGTCATGAATAATCTTTCAGGCCTTTTTTCAACCTTGATTTTACTACTTATTTTATATGAATTACCTAAATGATTGGCAGCAATTTTGTCATTAGTTGCTGGTGTACTATCTGTATTCTTAATCATATTTGTGTTTTCAGTTTTTGGCTGGGCTCTGTCAATTTGTTTTGCCAAATTCAAAAGTTTTGTATTTGGGTTTCTTGGGTTCAGGTTTTCACAAGTTTGTTTCCATTTTTTTCTTTTCACATTTACGTATAATCTTTTTATTTTTGCAATCACAATGTTCAGTTCAGTTATACAATTTGTTTGGTTTTGGGTGCACTTTTTTGTAGTTCATTTCTTTAAAAAAAAATTATTTTAGTTATAAGTGCTTGAATATATTTTTGCCTGGTGTGCTTAATTTGGAATCCATTTCTTAATATTACCTCTTGGTATTGAAACTTTGGCTGCTTCAATAATGGTGTTTTCGAAAGATATCATATTAGCCTTTTTGAAGTTCCAGAATTTTTCTTAATTGAGCTAGTTATGGTCTTGGTGCTAATTTCTATCAAATTATGCAAATGATCACTTCCAAAACTTTTTAATATTTGCTATTTGCATTTGTGGAAAATGTCAGGATAGTAAAAACTTATATCAAGGGCTTGTGCAGTATTATAGCTTGTATGAATGATGGGTAGGATTCCCATCATTTAAGCACATGAGAAGGCATTGTCGTCAAATATGTTTGATAGTATTTTGCCTCTTGGGATTTTGGCGTAGGACATCCCCATAGTTGATGTTTGGCATTAAGGTCACCTACAATAATAGTGTTGTCTGTAAGAAATTGAGCCATTGTTCCATCGTCAATAAATGTATTGTTTGGAGGGTGATACATATTGTATATGTTGATGGCTTTGATTTGATTGAGGTAGACTTTGATACCTTGGGCTTCGAGGTCTAATGTGTTTGTAATATTAACGGCTATGTCCTCATAGTACAAATTCTTGATTAAAAATGCTAGGCCACGCCCTTTAACAGCATATACAGATGGATCTTCAGACCTTACCCTGAGTAATGGAGGGGCTGGAATTAACATAATACTGCAAGATGGAACAAGCATCAAAATCAAAGAAGGAGCAGGACAGATTTCGTCAAACTTCACTTGTGAACTGACAGCTATCTGGAAAGCTCTTGATGTATGCCTTAACCAACCATCCCTGCATGAGGCAGAAGGAATTATAATATACCGTACGACTTCATATCCGATCTAGAAGCAATTCAAAAGGGCAATACTATAATCACACAGAAAATACATTCGTTACTTACTCAACTGATATCATTGGAGAATAACTGCATTCTACAATGGATTCCTGCCCGTGTTGAGATCGGGGTAATGAAATGGCAGTTGAATTGGCAAAGGAAGCCAGAAAGCTGAGCCAAAATAAAGAACAAATGTCAGTATTTGACGCTGATGCTTTGGCAAAATACAAGATAATTAAACAAAAAATAAGAAAAGATCAAATATGTGAGATAAACTCTGAGAGAAAACTGACAAAAACTATAACAAGACTTAGAACAAAACATTATAAAAGAATGAAAATACATCCAGATGGCACAATAACCTATAGAACATGCAACAACTGTCCTGGTGTGGAGCTAACACCTACCCACATATTCTCATTCCCGCAGCCTTGCAGAAAATTGACATAGACCCAGAGCAGCAGCTTTATACATCCAAGATAGTGGACATTGCTGCTGCTGCTGTGATAGAAATGAATGGAGACATCTGAGGCTATTTATTGGACACGACAAAAACAACAACGGCATTCCAGAGTAAAATAAATTATCAGAGATAGATACATATTTTTCAAATGAATTAAAATAAACATAATCGATACTGAGTGAGAGTTGAATTAAAGATATTAGAAATTTATTATCTTCGGAAACAAACCGTATCTAAAATATCAATTTTCTTTTTGCTACATGTTTTAATTTGCATTTACCTATTTTACATATCTCTGATTGTATTTGAAAATCGTTAACCAATTCTTCATACTTTTGGCGAAGTGGTGTTTTATTAATTTGTTATTTGATATTATTAGGGTTCTTTCCTGGTATTCAAAAAGGAAAAATACGTGTCGATCAGTTATATTTTTCAATTTATCAAACAATTTGGCCGCTGAATCTCTGATTCTGGTAGAGCGCCATCTGGCGAATAAAATTGTAACTAAAATCAATTTTGAAGTTTTCATTATTTGCCATAAAAAATCCCATTGCATCCTGAACACAATGGTGTTTACCGCATTGCTCTAGCGCAAATATTCGGGGAGTTATTAATTTTTAAAGTTGTGCGGGACTTTTGGATCACCCTGTATGTTCTCTTGTTTTTTTTTTGTATTGATGACAATGCTATATTTCTTATATATATAGTAGAACTCCCTGTAACCGGAGAGTTGCTAAATAGTAAAAATGGTTGTTTTGCAAATGAAAGCTGTCCTTTATAGAGAGGTGTTCTCTAGCGGGAGTGTACTCTCATGGGAAGTTCTACTGTACTTGTTTATTTCTTTAATTTTGTTGTGAGAAACGTCTTAGTTGAAAGTTTTAAAATCATTTCTTTGATAAATTGTGCTGAGAAGGACTTTTCTGTCTTCTATATATTTGCACTGTGGTTTCGAATTTTGATGTGTCTCTATGTCTCTTATACCCTGATTTCTTTCATTGTTGGGAATAAACTTTAATTGTTCTTCTGTAAATTATCTCATTAATGAAGAGTTTAGCCTGCATTACCCTTGTCTGAATAACTCTTGTTTGGTGCATTTCTTCAGACTTGTTATTATTTCATTTTCAAATTTGTGTGTGAGTGTGTATGTGTAAGGGGGGGGGGGGGGTTGTTTATTATTGTTTTGTTGAATGTGTTAATCTTAGAGAGATTGAGATTGGGATTGAAACTGCTTTATTGAACCGTTAACATTTAAGATTTGTCTCGGGAAAACACCTTGCAACAATCCGTAAAGTAATCATAGAAGGAGTCCAATTTACGTATTCCTCGATACACCAACAAAGTCAGAAACCGTGTAGCAAAACAACCTCTAATTGATGAAATGATCTACTTACTGCCTCTCTCCACAAATCAATACTTGATAGAACCGACCATTTGGTGGAAAGAAACCAATCGAAAATGTCAACATATAGACCCTGCGTGTAAGATTATATATGGTTGAATACAATATTGAATAAATAAGGAGAAATAATGACGAATATATGGATACAAATATATAAAATAATTGATAATTATACATATATAAAATATATACAAGATCTTCATTGGTAGCGCAAGAGAGAAAGAGGAAGAGAGGTTTAATCTGACAGATTGTTTTCCTGCCTTCTATCTTGGATTGTTGATTCTAGTTATTTTATTTTCTGGCCAAAATTGGCTACTACATCCTACATTCATTGTTAGATAGTTCGAATTGTTGTGTTGTTTATCAAGTTGTGAATTACCTCGTCTTAGAACTTTACACTTGCTTTCGAATACACAGGCTTCTGTTTGGTAACATTTTTGTTGGGTATATTTCTTTTATTCTGAAAATAGTTTGTTGGTTGGAGGTTGATTCAGAGAAAAACACATTTACGCCAAGTTTTTTGATTCGTTATTTCACCATAAAACAGATATCAGCTTTAAACGTGTGGTCGTACATTATATGACGTTATCCCTGAGACATCCTCTTTCCCATCTAGATTTAGATATTGATGATAAATCATGTTTTTTACAAGATAGCCATATTTTGGATATGGACAATGCCTATGCCTACGGCCATACCACATTGTAAACACCGGTTCTCGTCCGATCACCGAAATTAAAAATGTCGGGTCTGGTCAGTACTCAATTATTATTGCGCCTTCTACATGCTATAGGACTTAGCATTTTAAGGCACGACTCATCGTTAAGTGACACATTGCGCCTGCCGCGGGGGAAGGCCAAGGAGAGGGGTGGAGAGGCGCAGGCAGGGCGAGTGAGCATCCCAGGGAAGAAGAGGGCGGGTGCACGGTTAGAGAGGGCACCAAGGAAGCACCAAGTACAGCGCCTGGTCAGTACTTGGGCCACATCAATCAATAGTTCATTTTGACCCCCGACGTTTCAGTGACTTCCTATCATTCTCTTCAGGGGCATGATTGAATTCTAGTTGAGCAGAAGAGCTTAAATTGACTTGTTCCATTATATGTATGTTCCATATGTAAATACCTGTTTTCTTTCCTCTTTTCGCTCTCCACTTCTCCTATCCATATTTCCAAAATATTTTTTTTCTTATTTTCCATAGGATTATTCAAATAATAATCTGTATATATTTACCATGTGTATATAATCTTTCTCCATTTTTACCCCTTTGTATATTTCCCACTTTCATAGGTTTCTCCGTCTTGTAACCCCAAGGAGAATCCTCTGTAAGACCTGTGTGTCTTAATAAAGGCTTTTGTGTGTGTGTGTGATTGAATTATAGTTCTTTTATATTAAAATGACATCATTTTTATTTGTTGTTGAGAATTGTCTGTTATATTCTTGTTTGGTTTTACATTATTCCATACTGGCTTGTTTCTATTCTGACTTGTAGTAGATTGATGACTCTCTTTTATTGTTATCTTCCTTTTCTAACGATCATTGTTGCATTCAATAATTGTTGAAAGAATCGTCGTGTTTGTGTCCTCATTTTGATTTCTTCACATTTCATAATGTAAAATTTTTTCTTTGTTTATCGCCCATATTCTACATCTAATTTTTATCTCTTTCAGCTTGTATACATTATTTTCTATAGGGCTCTTATTCTATCCTAAAACAAATTAAAGAAGACAATTAGTGACTGGTTACTCTTTCTAAGAATAAAATAAAACACATTTTACTAATTATTCTGATTTATTTGTTGTTTTAAAGCTCTATTTTAGCGATATTACATTTCTGACTGGAATCATAGATTGTTGCGCTTTCAATAATCGATTGTAATTTTTTCTTGTCTTGTTATTTATCACGACTTCGATTCTTTCTTCAAAATGATGTTCGGTCGAGAATATTTATTACGAGTTTTTTTGTTGGTTAATTTCATTGATTTAAAGTGATTTTTTTTTTACATTCCTAACGATTTATATTGATTGGTTTTTATCCGGAAGTAAAATATTTTAAAATATTGTTATTTCTCTATTGGGGTAGATCTTTCTTTCTTCATATTGTGTTTTTATATTTATTCTATGAATTTGATCATTAGGTTTAAAAAGAATATAGATACATCAACATTTTTTTGAGTTATTTATATTATATATATATATTTATAAAATTTTACACAAATACATTTACTGGCAATGTGCTTCTTTTAAATATCATCAAATATTATCTCTACAGACCTTTCTGCAATGATATGAGTTATTGAATGAGAGGGCTTGACTCATATCATTGCAGTAAGGTCTGTAGAGATAATATTTGATGATATTTAAAAGAAGCACATTGCCAGTAAATTTATTTGTGTAAAATTTAACGATAGATGGCAATTAAATTTAATTTACTAATAGTTATTTATATTATAAAGAGTTTTAATTGATATTCTACGGTATATATTAAAAACAAAATAGGAATATCTCCTGACCTGATCACATGAGCTATATATTTAGCTATATATATTAGATTATCGCTATTTTTCAATATTTTCCTTAAATGTTCATAGTTCCTTAAAATATATCTCTACCAAGGATTCCTCAGCAGTTCCGCAATATAAGCCACACAGACCCCCCAATTCAATATTATAACGATCTCTGGAAGACTGGAAAACATGTTGAAAGGTTCACCACTAATAAGCCCAATACATTATCATCGTAGAAAGGACAGTAGATTTTATCCTCGCTAAAAATTTGTTTCAAATTGCACGTATTAATGGAAATAATGGACAAAAGATTTTTGTTGAAACGTTGAGAAAATAAATTTTTAACTGACCGAAGTGTCTATTTTTTAAATACTTAAAGAAGTTGTACTTTTTAGCATACATATCGGAATTTAGACAATAACTCTGAAATATATTTGATACACAGTGACCTTTATTAAAGACACACGAGATAACCAAGTGTGAACAAAATTGCCTCTGTCCCCTTCACCGATTTCCATTTCTTTAAGTTTTGTGTATGGGTGTATGTGTGTGATATAAGAAGAGAGAAACTCCTTTTAAATTATATTTTTTTTAATCCTCTAATATAATTTCAATAAGGTTGTAAGTAATACGTACCCGTGTGTGAGGCAAACATATCGTACGAGATCACAAATCGAATACCAGGTTCGAAACCGCGTAGGAATAATTTTTATTTAAATTCTCGCAATACATATACTATAATAAAATTGTAAATAGGAAGGATACTGAGAAGATTAGCACTTAGCTCTGTGTGCCAGGATGACACGCAAAGTCTATATGTTGATATTTTCGATTGGTTTCTTTCCATCAATTGGTCGGTTAAGTTCCTACCAAGTATTGATTTGTGGAGAGAGCTAGCAAGTAGATCATTTCATCAATTAGAGGTTGTTTTGCTACACGATTTCTGAGTTTGTTGGTGTGTCGAGGAACACGTAGATTGGACTCCTTCTATGATTACTTTACGGATTGTTGCAAGTTGTTTTTCCGAGATAAATGGACAGGTTATACGTGTTGGGATCACTTTACTTAAAGTGACTTACAAGATTGTAGAGTGGTCTCTCAATTGATTGATTGATTAGATTGGTCTTTTATTTATTTTGTATTGGTTTCACGACGATATAAAGTTACTTTTCCTCGAATAAATGCCTTTTTTTATTTCAAGATTTTTTTTCCTGATGTAAACGTTTTTACACTTTACATTTTCCCTTTGTTTTTGTTAAACGTTTTGATTTTAATTGAATTTTTGAAAGTATATTTACAGTTTGAAGCTTTTCTGTGTCGGATGTGTTTATATATAATGTACATAAGCCTTTTTTACTGTTCGAATAGCTGTATTTGACGGTATTTTCTATAGATTTTCCATCACTATTACCATATTTCCCTATGCCAGTGCTCTGTAACCTTTCTAGAGACCTATGGCACACACTTCCATCTTAACTCTCAAAACTACACTCGGATAATACTCGAAATAGTGGTAGTTCTTATCTCAAGTTTCCCATGATACTCAATGTGGGTAGTATTTAGCGACTGTTTTTACTCTAAGTGCATCACATGTCTACACATGAGACTCGACTTTCGTACTTACAAGTATGCCAGAACCCCGTTTAGTTACTTGGACTCACTAGTGGGGCTAGATTTCTGAAAGAATCGAGTGCTATTGAGGCAAAATCTTTTTTCAGAAAAAAGTGCCCTATACGCAAGATTCGATTCCAGGTCGTAGCTGTCTAAAATCGAAGGTTTATGTCACTTCTCTACCGACCTACTTAAAAGAGTGGAATTATATGAAAAAAAAAACAATAAAAAATAACTAGGTACTGTATGATATATTAGACTTAGCCAAAGGGCCCCGAATTCTTCTCAGAATTATCCAGGTACATTTCAGTCACATTCTGTTGGGACGCCTGATTAGTTAAGTAATTTTATTTATAAAAAGTTTATTCAAGAAAAAAGAAAAAGACAATCTATCAATGTTATTTATCATCTCTACCAATACTATTCCTAGTGGTAAAAAATAACAGGGCACTACAAAAATTTAGTTTATGATTTATTATAAAGTTTTCACATGAAAATTTTCAATTTTCTGAATAGCCTGGCTATAAGTTGAACTATATCTTCAGCTATATCTTTATGTGATAATTTAAAGTCTTTGAATCGGTAGTGTTTTGGAAAAAAGCGGCAAATATCGAGTCAGTATTGCATTCATATTTATAAGGATGTGACATATTTAAGTTATATAGCAACTTATATGATATTTCTAGTATCACAGATTCTTGTAAATGGCATATCGGGGTTGGAGGGGAGGAGTGGCATAAACTGTTGATGTTCGATACCCACGACCCAGGGTCGAATCCCGCACTGGACACTTTTTTCCTGAATTAAAAAATTGCTTAAATGTCTACCGACCAGTAAGTGTAAGTAACCAAAGTCTGGTAGACTTGTAAGTTCAAAAGTCTAACCGCGTGTAGACATATGTAGACATGTGTTGCACTTGCCCAGTAAGTGCAAGTAACCAAAGTCTGGTAGACTTGTAAGTTCAAAAGTCTAACAGCGTGTAGACATATGTAGACATGTGTTGCACTTGCCCAGTAAGTGCAAGTAACCAAAGTCTGGTAGACTTGTAGTAACTAGACAAGGCTCTGGTACACTTGTGATTGCAAAAGTCTAATAGCCTTTTCCTTGTGTAGACATATGTGGTGCACTTCCAGTAAAGTAATCACCAACTACTGCCCACCATAGTTATAACGGCCTATACAAAGTGTGTGTTTACGGCCTCTACAACGTGTACTAGTGATAATTTAAAAAAGACCAATTTTTATACTAAAAATTTAAAACTATGGAGGAAAGCAATCACCAACTACTGCCCAACATAGTTATAACGGCCTATACAAAGTGTGTGTTTACGGCCTCTACAACGTGTACTAGTGATAATTTAAAAAAGACCAATTTTTATACTAAAAATTTAAAACTATGGAGGAAAGCAATCACCAACTACTGCCCAACATAGTTATAACGGCCTATACAAAGTGTGTGTTTACGGCCTCTACAACGTGTACTAGTGATAATTTAAAAAAGACCAATTTTTATACTAAAAATTTAAAACTATGGAGTGAAGCAATCACCAACTACTGCCCAACATAGTTATCATGGCCTATACAACGTGAGTGTGTACTAGTGGTAATAAAAAATCAATATGTATACTAACAATTTTAAAACTAATGCCGGGAGAAAAATGGATTTAAGTAAGAAAGCAGGGT